TTTCACACCCTCTCTCATGCCTGACAGGGGCCGCTCTGGCGACACGGGATGAGTAAGGAGCCCAGAGGCAGGGGGTACAGCCGGGGAAGAGGCTTCCAGGGGTGGCGAGGAGGATGGCGAGGAGGATGGCGAGGAAGAGGACAAAGTACCGAGTGGAAAAGCAAGGTTGAACCCGGTGAGCCGGCTCCTGGGCCTCTCCCTTTGTCTTCTGACTGCGTAACGCTTTGAAAGCAACTCTTTCTTTTCACCGGCTTTCGCACTGAAGGGTGGCTGTTTGCCTCTGAACGCTCTGAAGAGTGGTAGAGAACAAAATAAAAGTTAAATGAAAGATTCGGTGTCTAAAAACCAACCAACCAACCAAACAAGCACTCGAGTATCTACCTTGGTTTAATCCTAGCTTTAATATTTTCCAGCAAAATCTGGATTAGTTCAGTCAACGTTGGACCGGTTTATTCCATATAAAGGCTGGAAGCTTTATTTCTCCGAAGGTATTTTTACACCCAAATTACATGTAGTAAATATGTTATTCTGTTTTCCTTAGAGTTGGTTACAAGTGATGGAGATAACTGCAACAGAACACAGCTGAAGTTTGTATTTGATATCTTAAAAACAAGGATTCAGTAGAGATTTTATGGCATAACCGTGGGCTCCAAACCTTGGAAAGAAATTTTGGATGGTATAAAATATGATTTTTCTTAAAACCTGGCCCATTTGCCATGCAATACATGTACCTCTGCTGAATTTTTCATGCTCCTTTTTCTTGGTGTGACCTACTCATATGGATGTGAAGTTGCACCTCAAGGTCAAAGGAAGCTGTTTAGTCTCAATAATGTTTAGTTGTCTTTAGCTTAACTGCTTGTCCTATGTTATCTCAGACAAAGTATGTTTTTGGGATGTTATTGTGATGTTGTAGAGATCTAACATCTTCCTCAGTTTTGGAACACCCCAAAATAGCGGGAGGGAAACTACCATTTTATGTACTCTCTGTAATGAAAGTAATTATTTCCGTCTATTAACTGATGTCATATGTTTCTGATTAGCTTATGCTGACAAGTCTCCTTTTGTCCTGAAGACTCAAGCTTTTGAAAAGTTTTTCATGCAACGCATTGAGCTGTACAACAAGGTAAAAAACCCCTATTGTGGATGAACTAACACTATAACACTTGGCCTATTTTCAGCATCTGTTCAAGCATGTCCAAATCTCATTTCCTAAGCATTAAATATTTGTGTTTATAGCTTGAAATGTGTTTTATAACTTTAAATGTTTCACAGGATGAAATAGAGAGAAAGGGAAGTATCCTTGTGGATTATAAGGAACTGGTAGAAGACCGAGAACTAGCTAAATCAATACCAAATATATCTGCTGAATTAAGGGATATGCCTCAGAAAATACTGCAGTGCATGGGTTTGGCAATTCATCAGGTAAATATGAAGTTTTCTATTACATACAAGCCCCTCTGCCTCCCGTGAGAACGAATCAATGGGACTTGAAGGCAATTATATTATAATAACTGAATATTAGTGTTTTTCTAACTTACAAAAATCTATTGTTTACTCGAAAATCAGTAGCCCTTCCCTCTACACCATTTCTGCATGACCTTTAAAATCATGTTTTGAAAGTGCTTTGGTCTTGGGGTGTTTTACTTGTTCATCTTCCAACTAGTTGACTAAAACTAAATACAGTTTTAACACTTATGTAATATGGAGTTCTAATTCCTGTTTGATTAATGAACAGTGAGTTAACTGTGCTGTTTGTCCACCTCAAGCAGCAGAACTGTGGCTGGTGGGTGAGTGGGGAACAGATTCAAGAATTCCTGTCTCTGTCCCATGTCTCTTAAAAAGTAGTATTTCCCTGTTTTTTGACAGGCAGGTCCTCACATCTTGTGCTTGAATCCAAACAAAACTAGACACATTACAGTATTGTATACTTTTTTTTAATAAACAAGCACAACAGCAAGAGTGCGTCCCCCCCGCCCCAAGATGAAGATTAATTAGATAATTAAATTAGATAATCTAGAGCAGAAAAATACTCTTTAGCTGTGGTTACTGGACAGCACAGTGCTCCTGAGACTTGAGCAACAGGCCTAATAGTAGAGGATGGTAATGAAACTTTATAGCAAATTGAATCAATATTGTATGGCTTACTACACTTGTGTCTGCCTTCCTGTTCTGGCTAGGTGTTAACAAAGGACCTTGAAAGGCATGCTGCTGAGCTGCAGGTGGAAGAAGGATTACCGCTTAATGGAGAGCCTATAATAAATGTGCCACACATTCATGCCAGGTAACGGATGTTGTGTATTGGTGCTGTTTGCAGGAAGATCTGCTTGCTTCTTGTGTAGTGGTTGTCAGTATCTGTGCGTGGAGCTGAAGGCTGGCTGGCTATTTAATTACTTACTTATGAGACTTTGTGAAGCTATTTCCAGAAGAAAAGTCTATGTTTTGCTTTTTTCGTCACAATGACAAAAGCTGGACTGTATTTGGGAGAAAACGCAAAATGAAACCTGCTTATAAGCTGAAAAAAGGGCTTGTAATAATAGAAGATGTTGTAAGTAGAAAAGTAACATACAAGTAGAAAAACTGAAATACCTATGGATTAAAAACCGAGAAATGTGTTTAGATTTCTGCCGTTTAATGGAGAAGTTAGGAAGGGATTGCATATAGTATTTTATTAACAGAGGTGTGTCTTCATGAGGAAGTTGATTTGGAGGGTGTAGACCTAAACTAAGGAATGGTAAATATTACCAATTCTATTATGGGTGTTCTAACAGCGATGTGAGGATGCATTATTTTATATTAGCTCATCTATTAAAGGATTATCTGTAGAACTTCTCAAGAACAGTAGTTCTTATTAATTGAACTTTAGTTTGAAATGAAATAGGTGAAGTTAAGGCTACACTAATTCTGCATAAGCACATATTTACAAGAATCCTAGTAATTACTGTTGTCGCTTTAAAATTGTGACTTCCTTAGAGTTCTTAACTAAACAAATCCTTGGTAATAATTTGTTTTATGTCTGGGGAATTCAAAACGTTGGAATCTCAGACTTCAGGAAACGGGGGACTGGCAGTATGAACGCTACTTCGGTTTGATTTTTCTGCTGGCCCTGACCTGACATGGGAGAGCAGCTCGTTTTCGCACAGCAGCTGGATTTAATTTTTGGATTTGTCAGACTGGTACATTTTAGCCTTTGCATTGCTATAAAACTGCATCCTTTTAATTAGCCAGTGGAATGCATCTAAGAAAAACTATGGCCAAGAGAGAATTTGAGAGCTTGTATATACCCAAGGAACAGTTATGGAACGTTATTCTGTAGAGGAGAATATTTTAGGAAAATCAATAAAATATCATGTTCATAAAATGGATGTTAGATTTGTTTTTATAGGGAATGCAAAGAGATTTGCGTTGTCCTGTGTGATCAAAGGAGCAGATTGCTATGACTGAAAACCAAGGGAATATCATCGAAAGCAACTTTTTTAGGCAGTGATCATGCACTGTAGATTATGTGGGTTTGCATAACTTATGGGTTTTTGAAGACCTCTGTAGTTTGAAATCATTTAGTTGTGCAGCATCGGCAGGGCTGAAGCTGGTTATTCTGAATGTTTTGGCTGGGCGTTCTTGGGCCTCATTAACAAGGAGCTCTTTGTTGCACATAATGACAACCATGTTATGTCCCTGAAGCATGAAAAGCCACCATTTCTTTTGGCGTGCAGGTGAAATCTTTGATCCTTTTATGTTGCAAGTCTGAACTCTGGTTTTAACCTGGAATTATTTAGAGGCACATAGGGTAATTTCTATTGTATCATTAGTCTGAGAAGTTTATGGGAGGGAGGTGTCTGTGCTGCTGCACTGTATACACAAACTTTACAGCTCCAGGGTTGTACCACCTGGAGTATATTAAACATTAGGCTGCTTTCAAGAGCACGAATCAAAGACTGTGCCATGGGTCCACAGAGCTAAAGTCACCATCTAATCTTGCTCTGGATTACTGCTAATAGTTAGTATGTAAACGTCTGTCTTGTTCCTCATTTAAGGATAGCAAGCTTTCAAAGTGTTAACATCTAATTTTTATGTAGGGTGTACAACTATGATCCGCTAACTCAGCTGAAAAACGTTCGGGCCAACTGCTATGGGAAATACATTGCCTTGCGTGGTACTGTTGTGCGTGTCAGTAACATTAAACCTCTCTGCACTAAGCTAGCCTTTGTATGTGGCACGTGTGGAGACGTTCAGGGTGTTCCTCTACCTGATGGAAAATATACTCTTCCAACTAAGGTAAGTTTAAAATCATCTAATTTGATACTCTTCCCTTTTGTATTTCTGTTGAGTTGGGTAAAAGCAACACTAGTGATATTTAGATTAGAGAGAGAGAGAGAGAGAAAAAAGCCTCCCTCCCTGCCCCGCAACAGTAGTTCAGCTATTTAAAGCAAAATTTACCATGCAACTTGGTATTCCTGCATAACCTTATTATTGGAAAGAAAGTGCAGAAACTCGCACAAATCCAGAAAAATTTCTTGCAGTTCTCTTTCACGAGTTATGTCTGAAAAGCCCTTTCCACCTCATGGGAGTGACTTCCTTGGTTAATTTGCTTTTTGTGATTTTGCTTAGAACTTCCTATTTTAATTTCACTGTTTTTATCTGGACTCAAAAAGTTTCCACACATAAGATAGTGCCCAGTCATTTTATGTAACCTGAGGTGCCCATGTGAAAAACCATTTCCTCTGGAACATCTTCAAGGTGTGTGTGTGTGTGGTGGGGGGGAGTGTATGGGTGTTTATTTTATTATTTTTTTATTGCCAAGGAGATCGTACAGGGCAGCTGTATTTGCTGTAACAGCTAGGAGTCAGGGTTTCGGTGTCTGTGCTTGATGAGTCTTCATTAATTATGTACGTTCTAAAGTGTATCCTAGTTTAACTTTTTTTTTCCCTGATATGGTGTTAAAGGAACATTGTTTTGTTTTACCTCTTTTTTTTATTTGCCTTATTTGATTTAAAAACAAACAAACAAACAAAAAAACCTACTATTAAAAAGATTGGTTAAAGTTGAGAATGAATTAGAACGAATACTGTTACAGTGCCTTGTTCCTGAGTGCCGTGGCCGGTCATTCGCAGCAGACAGAAGCTCTCCTTTAACCACTACAGTGGACTGGCAGTCTGTTAAGTAAGCAACATTAATGCATCTCTTCTGCACAAAAATGTATTTCAATAGGGTAGCCACAAGTAAAAGGATTGCTCATTACATGTTGTGCTGTGTAAATTTAATCCTTTTGCAGCAAGTACAACTGGAGAAAATAGCTTCGAAGTGGTGGTGTTCTCAGAGAACCTTAAATATTACCCCTACTCGGTACAACAGCTTCTTATTCTTATCTTGACTGACTTCATTGAGAAATGTTCAGGTCAGGCTGTATGCAGCTTTTCTCAACGGTTTTTAGTTGCATCTCTTATTCAGTAATTTGTTTTTCTGAACCGTTAGTCAGCTAGGAGAGCCGTATTACACTATGTTTGTCAGCTGCAGCAGCTGACTTGAATGAACTGAGTATAAATTTAAATGTTAAATTTTAGTTTGAAGTGATATTAGTTGTGTCCCCCAGTTCCTGTGGCACACTCAGTAGGTGGAAATAATGCTGAGGGCTGCCCATTCATCTACTTTTTATGTCTAATCTAGCTCAAACTGAGTTCTTTACTCTGGGGAAAGTGCTGTTGTTTCCACAGACGTTAACGATGTTAAACAAGTGCAGGAAGCTGGACTGTGGAGCTGTTTTTCATTGCTTCCTCACTTCCGCACTATGACCATCCTAATATTGCCAGATGTAGTATGTTCTGTATATGTTCCATTTTTCTTGTCTGTCCTCTTAGTTTACTGCAAGTGGGCTGTCAGCTTGGGTAAAGATGAACTCTGCTTACTTTATTTCCACTTCTTGCACTCGGATCCTCTAAGTTTACGTGCTCTGTATTAAAAGTTTTATGATATGTACTTTAACTTGTTTTAAATGAGGTTTATTAAAGAAATAGCACCAAAAAATTCTTGATGGCTGCTCTAGAGGGTGCTGTTTAACACAGCTTCTTAAGAGGAGCTTTATTCTGAGGTTAAAGGAAAAACAACTAGGGCTTTAAGTGCAGACCCAAAATTGGAACCTTTTAAAGAATTTGTTAGTTGCTAGCTTTTTACAACTGTGCAAAGTTCCTGTTCTTGCTATGGTCTGAGGGAGTTTCTTTGGCATTGCAGGGATTATTATTACATCAAGATTGCCAGTTACCTTCATCAGGGCTAATATTTGACCTCTTAAGATAAGCTTCATATACAAAATATGACTCTTTCATATACTGTGTTTATTCCTACATGAATGTGTTCATCAGAGCTAGGACTGAACTCCAACATCAATTGCTGTTTCTGGAGTTTGTCTGTCTTTCTAGGATTTACATGTCATAAATACCTATTGGTTCAAGTTCTACTTGAAGAAGCCTGAGTCTCTCCAGATTTAGCGTTGCTGTTTCTAGTGCTTATCAGGGTGTTTCTGCTGTCTCCCTTGTCAATTCGGAAAGGACTGATTTGAAGTGCACATGTACGGATTTCTTACACCAAAACTGAATGGAAATGCTACGTATGGAGTGTGGGCTCCCCTCATGTATTGCAGGGTGCAGGAGCTCATGTCAGATGATCAGCGAGAAGCAGGTCGAATCCCTCGCACAATAGAATGTGAACTGGTTCAAGACCTTGTGGACAGTTGCGTCCCAGGAGATATGGTCACAATTACAGGGATAGTTAAGGTGTCAAGCACCGAGGAAGGTAAAATATATCATCTCAAAACATCTTTTTCTTTGTGGGGACTTTTTCTAGTGGTTATGCAATAACATAAGAACAGCCCTCCCCCTGATTTTGAGCTCTCAAAGTTGTAAATGCATTAAGCATGTGTTTCTTCAAAAGTTACCAAAGTTTCATAATGAGCTTTTTTGAAAAGGGAAGAAGCAGCGCCGCTCAAGAGGAGCGCTGACTCTAATGTCCACTGATAGAGGAGGTTTATCTTACACAGTCTCTGCTCCGTAAATATGGTCCCGAATCTGAATCGCCAGTGCTGACATCTAATGTTTCAGTGAATCGGCTGATAAGAAAGTTGTCTTGGACTGCTCATGTGAGGGGGGCATCCTTGTTTCCAGAAGTCTCATTGAGACTAGTTATTTGTTTACCCTTTTCCTTTTTACGTTCCTCTCGAATAAAAGGAAAACTGTCATGCTGTTCTGAAGGCACGTTATCTTTCTCAGCTTAGTCCTCCTTGGAGAAATCTTATGAGGCCTTCCTTTTTCAAGATCAAAAAGTACATATTCTGAACAGCTGTAATAGAACATATTGCGGAGACCTGCAGTAGTGGTTTGTTGTGAGATTGCATTCTCTGTTCAGTAATCCTTCCGTTAAGGATCTAGGAAATGTTAATTGTTAAAGTACATGTTTAATTCTTCTGCTCTGTAGATTCTTTCTGTAAATATTAAGATTGAAAAATTTTGTATATAACTTGTATTTGACTAGAATAATGTAATAATTTAGAATTCCTGTTACCAAATAGTAATTATGAATAAAATCTAGTATTTCATATATACATAATATGCACACCCACACCTCTCCATCTCCTAATGGCAAAATATTTTACCATATACCTAAGTGCAGTGAACTTGAAGAAATGTAATTAAAGCTTTTACTTTGCATTAATTTTTGAAAATGCAGGTGTTCAGCTACTTGTACATGAACAACCTTTATTTTGCACATGCCAATACGTATTTCTGAACTATCCTATGCCACTTGCCAGTAACATCAGTACTTAAGATATAAAAACATCCCTTCGTTCTGTGTCATCTTTCTAACAGGAGCTTCTAAAAATAAGAATGACAAGTGTGTGTTCCTGTTGTACATTGAGGCAAATTCTGTCAGCAACAGTAAAGGACAGAAAACAAAGAATTTCGATGATGAGACTTTTCAAAAAGCATTCATGGAATTTTCTCTTAAAGACCTTTATGCTGTTCAAGAAATTCAAGCTGAGGAAAATCTGTTCAGGCTCATTGTGAAGTAAGTTGCGTCAGCCCCTAGAGTAACTTCTGCATCGGCATGGCCAACTTCAGTTGGACTTGACAGCAAATCTAAAGCTATGAAATGTCTATCAGGCTTGTGCAGTATGTAGCACTGAGATTTAGCAAACTGAATTGTGCAAGGGGCATTGGGAGGGGCAGGAAGTATTGCTGCAGGGAACGCAGAGTAGGGGAAACTGAGGATGTTAGGACTTTGGAATGGACTTAAGCATAAAGGGAAGTTAGAAGGGTTTCAGTTCAACTCTGAGATAGAAAGCTATAGTTTAAAAAAAAAAAAGCAATGCATTAATTTTGCTTTTCGTTGAGCACGTTCAACTCATGTGCATGGCTTTGTTCTCCACTCTGCCTTCCTACAGTAGAGGAAAGAGGAGAGAACTAAGCAGAGGGTGTGAAAGAACCTCTGTGCAGACCAACAAGTACGTTTCTTGTAGCTGGAGTGTCCTCTAGGTCTTCCTGACTGGAGTCAAAGAATGCCAAATTATAGCACCTTTAAAAGGAGGCTTATGAGGGTTAAAGGTAGTTATTTGATAAGGATGAGAGGGGGTGCAACAACCATTGGGAAATTGGTTCTCCTCTGTGTTTGTGCATAGTCAAATGAAAGGCTTTTCTTATCCTTTTTCTTATCATGTAAAGCGTATCTGGTTATCTAAAAATGTCAAGAAATGTGATACTGCTTTTAATTTAAAAACCTTTGTGCTAGTGGGAATTAAAAGTTAACTTCTTTGTGATTATAAAAGTAGTCTGCAACAAGTGAGATGGGATACGTGATTATAATACGGCAGGAATATTAATCTTGCGTTTACTACTAAACAGAGTGCTTTGTTTTTCAGCTCTCTCTGTCCTGCTATCTATGGCCATGAGGTAAGTAATTTTACAGCTCTGCTTACAGCTTCAGTTTTAAATGTTTACTGTGGCAAGCGCATAATCTCCTAAAAGACTTTTAAAGCTTAGTTAGAGGTGGTGATGGGGAGGGGTGGTGGTGGTGTGTTTACAGGTGACTTTTCACAGGGCTGTGCCTGTTCATGAACTGACAAAAGAGGTGGCAGCCTTATACTGTTGGAAGTATCTAATGGGATTTAGGCCCTTCCATCCAGAAGGAAAAGGCTATTATGGCTTATTCTAGGGAGGTGTCAGTAAGGGTTGCCATAATCCAATATTTAACTCGTTTTGGTATGTACTGCTGCAGATTGTAAAGGCAGGTTTGGCACTGGCATTGTTTGGAGGATGTCAGAAGTTTGTAGATGACAAGAACAGAATCCCAGTGCGAGGAGATCCGCATGTTCTGGTTGTTGGAGATCCAGGATTAGGAAAAAGTCAAATGTTGCAAGTACGTGTTAACTTATTACTACTGACTGTAATGTTTTTCCTCTCATTCCTTGTTATCTTGTCGTCTTGTAAACATAGCTGTGCTAAGACCAAAGAGTGCTGGAGCCTACTTGGAGCTGCCTTTTCATGTAGCTCACCTCGGATATAGGACAGCACCTTAAAGGGGTGCCCTGCTGTCCTCTCCTTCGAGGCAGCCTTGCGGAAGGGAACTAGCCTCTTAAAACACTTACCAAAGCAAGCGCGCTTGGTCAAGCCTGTGGGCTTCCATGTACTTTCTAGGCTTGTTCCCCTGCCTTCTTTAGCTTTTTGTACCAACTCTCTTCCCCACTGAAGAATTTCATTCCTCCTTGTCTTCGTTTAGCTGATTCATCGTCAAGTACGTTCTTGGAGCTACTGTGATATTCAGTGTCATGTTGCTCACCTTCTGTGATGTTTGTTCCCATTTCCTTCCCCTGTTTCTATGTTGCCAAACCAGATATTGGCTATTTTGGAAAAAGGATTTGCTGCTACACCTGAGCCTTAGCTTGTTGGGCGTTTCTGCATGACTAGCAAACCCCAAAAACATAATTTCTTCCTCTTAGAGAACTTTAAAAGTGTTCAGTTTATCTTTCTCTGCAGTTACTGTGAAGTCTGGATGAAATAAGAACAGGAAAGGAAGACAGAGTTCACTTAGACTTGCAGCGTTGCATGCTTCATTTAAAAAAAAAAAAAAAATTACTTAATATGTTGACACATGTTAGGTTAGGACTTAGAAAAGCTTAAACAATGACATATGTATATGCAAGTATCTTGTAAACAATATTTATATTTTGTCACTGAATGGGAAATCACTTGCATATAGTAGATGGTTTGCTTTTTCATGTCATTACTAAATAATGGAGTGCCATTCGAGAAAAGCTAATAGTCTGTTTCTCAGATAAGACCTGGAGACCATGCTCCTCTGAATCATCCCTTTTACAGGAAACATCCCAAGGAGAAAACCAAAGCTGTGTAGGAAGGTGGTTGTGGGGTGGTTGTTGTTGTTGTTTGGTACTGAACAAATATGCCTTGGGTGTTATCTTTTGAATAAAATAGAGGCACCAGTAGCAATCTCCAGAGATAGTGGGAAAGATCTGTTAAGATAACTCTGTATTCTAGCCAAACTGAACTGCGATACCACTGTGTCTTGCCAGTTCATGTAAAATTTCTTTGAACTTACCATGCTTTGTTGTTCTACTTCATATTTCAAATTACAAGCTGCCTTATGAATCCTAGAGGCATGGAGGAGGCTAGGACTGTCCTTCATCCCCTTGCTGTGGGGAGAACTACACCTGCTTCTGAAGCAGCTTGTGTTGGGCATTTAGACAAGACGTTGGACTAAACAGAACTTGGGGTCTGAAGATACCAAGGTTACGTGTCCGCAGTTTAGCGACAGATAGCAGCGTGTCCCCAAGTATTTCAATAAACTTAACAACGTCAGTGTTATGCCCAAAGTTCCAGTAGCTCTGATAACAGAGTAGACATGACTATGTGCAAGAACTGTGATGAAAATTATTCCTACTGTTTTGCAGAAGTATGCCTCCTGGGGTTGCAAGGAGTTATAACTTGACTGTTGGGCTATGTTAAGCTGAAAATAACAGAAATTTTGTTTGCTTTGTGTTGTTTCTTTAGAATAAGGCTTATGAAATCACTCACCTTGGGAAGGAAAAAATTTCTTTCTCTTCTAGGCAGTGTGTAACGTTGCTCCTCGAGGTGTGTATGTTTGTGGTAATACTTCCACCAGCTCTGGCCTGACTGTTACACTGTCTAGAGACGGTGCTTCTGGAGATTTTGCCTTGGAAGCTGGTGCTTTAGTGCTTGGAGATCAAGGTAACGCTTGTAACCTTATAGGTTTTGTATGGTGTGCGTGTGTTAATGTCCAAATTTCAATTTGAAGAAAAATTGTGATTAGGCTTTCCCCCCCATGCACGCTTTTTTTCCTTCCTCCTACTCCCACAAGTATATGAGCACATAAAGACTCCAGTTTGTGCTGATCAGCTTAAGGGTCTTAAACACAGTGCTTTCATTATTGTGGATTAAAAGTATAAATTTGAAGTATGATACTGGCTTTCCTTATCTGGGAAGTCCCGAGCTTGTCCAGTGACTTCTCTGGAGGTGGCCCGTTCTTTCTTACGGGGTAAGGGTGGCACTCGCAGTAGATGATCTCTTTTAAAACTGAAGTTCTGCAATTCACGCAACAGTCATAATGGCTCAAACAGCTAGGATTTCCTGGTTGAAAATTCTGAGTTAATGGTAGCTACTGGATTTTACTATGGCCTTTGAAAAAATAAGATTACTTAAGTCTTGTCTTCAGCCTTCCTGAAGCTGAGGCTTGGTCCAACATCTCCTGCAGTCACTAGACTCTAGACTGGACTTCTGATATGGCACTGGATCGTAGCATATATTTCTCCATCGGTCACTGTTTTATAATATGCTTTTGTCCTGTGTTAACTGTTTCCAGGGATTTGTGGAATAGATGAATTTGATAAGATGGGAAGCCAGCACCAGGCTTTGTTGGAAGCCATGGAGCAGCAAAGCATCAGCCTTGCCAAGGCTGGCATTGTTTGCAGCTTGCCTGCCAGGACGTCTATCGTTGCTGCAGCAAACCCTGTTGGAGGACACTATAACAAAGCCAAAACGGTGTCTGAGAACTTGAAGTGAGCACTCTTTGAAATGCTGCTTATATAGTTTACATTCCAGATCAGGTGCTTTTGGCAGTTTTGCAGTTTGTGTATAATTGCTTTCTGCTTTTCTGGAGCTTGAACACAATCTTATTGCAGTAATTTTTGGTGTGGTGGCTTTTGAGAGAAACTGCTGTTCTACTTCATTTTCAAAGCATGGGACAGGCTTTTCTAAACTTATTTCAGAAACAAACAGAGTAGTTGCAGTTTTCTTTATTTTCTTTTTCTTTCTTTTTTTCTTTTACAAGCAATGTGTGGTTTTCTTTTATCTTTACTCTAGAATGGGGAGTGCTTTACTGTCGAGATTTGACTTGGTTTTTATTTTGCTGGACACTCCCAATGAAGACCATGATCACTTGCTGTCTGAGCATGTGATGGCAATCAGAGCTGGAAAGCAGGCAGCATGCAGCAGCGCTGTTGTGACTCGTACCAGCACGCAGGATCCCTCTGTTCTTGAAGTTGTTTCAGATCGACCACTGCTTGAGAGACTAAAGGTAGGACTTGACTTGTGACTGCTGCTGTCTTTCTCCCTGTGGTGGTGTTTGCACTGGGACCTGGTCACCTAGATATGCCAGATGTCTTCAGTCTCCCACTCCCGTTCTTCTCATGATAATAGGCTCTGAACTTAAGGAGCAATTTAAGGCCCCAGCCACCAGTGTCTGCCTGTTGTAGAAGCTCCAGCAAGACAGGTGATGTTACCTAAAGTTTCATCTCAAATTCTCCCTTGGGCAGGGATTAAGATGGCTTATCAGCTGAGAGTGGTGTGTTTGTGTTTTTTTTTTTTTCCCTGCTACCATTGCTGCTCTTTGTTCATCCTTTCCCCCTCATGTTCCTTCCCCCCCCCCCCAATCCTTTATCCTAGCTCAAAGACTGGGATGGTGGGAAGACACTGCATGAAGTGCTCTAAAGCAGGTTTGCTGTATTTGATTTCCCTGAAGAGCTACTTAGACGGGGTATAATAAAATTGCTTATATAACAAGATGTGTTGTGAGTGAATCCAAATAAAGTAGTGTGTAAACAAATCCTTGAGTATCTGCAACCCGGCACACGTTTGGGGATTTTGGGAGGTAAAGTGTTTTCCGTTAAGCTTCACTGGTCGGTTTGAGGGCTGATGTTGTCAAATGCTAGGTCTGAGGAGAAATATTTCCTGCTGGGAATTAACCTGTGCGCTTTTGGAGAGGGGAGAAGAGCAGTGATGACTTATTCTTATGTGGGTATGTATCTAGTAAAAATTGGAAGAGGCTTTTGAGAAAGAATTCTTAATACAGTTCAGTCATGTTTGGCAGTTGTCGTCATTACAAATGAGAAGCTTCTGCTCCTTTTTCTGAAACGGCCAAACGTGTTTAATTACATGTCTAAGCGTGGTATTATGGAGTTTTTAAGTACAAGGTTCACATATGGAGCCCTAAGGCCCTTACAGAAAAGATTCAGACGCTCGTACAAAGATTTCACTAGAAGAAGAAGTTTTCATGTTAAAATTTGTATTGCATAAAGTTCTGGCAGAAATTAAATCCAAGGTCTGTCTTTGTAATGAATGGACTTAGATTTCACCAGGAGAAAGCTTCGATGCCATTCCGCACCAGCTGCTGAGGAAGTATGTGGGATATGCTCGGCAGTATGTTCACCCAAATTTATCTCCAGAAGCTGCTGAGGTCCTCCAGGCATTCTACCTTGAGCTCCGGAAACAGAAGCAAGGAGCAGACAGCACACCAATCACCACAAGGCAGCTAGAGTCACTGATTCGACTTACAGAGGTAAATTCAAACTATAATACTTATGGGGTTGAAAGCGAAGAGATTATTTCTAAAGCACTACTGATGTCCCTTAACTTTTGACTGCTTCTTGCCTGTTTGTTTGTGTGGGGTGGTTTTTTTTTTTTTTGAGAGAGAGAGAGAAGGTAAGGATCCAAGAGTCTTACAAATACTTAAGAGCAACTGCTGCTTAAAGCCTCTTATGAGGTAAAACATCCCTGGGTGGGGGAGAGAGAACCTGTCAAGTTGTAACAAAGAGGAAAAAAGAAAGGTGCAGACAGACAAGGTGCTGCCCATCTTGAGCTGAAACTGTTGCCTTTTCCTCTAATGCTGTGCCTTAAGATTATTTGTCATCTGCAGCTTTCCGAGAATACACTGTTAAAGGCAAATAAATTTCAATAAATTCCAAGCTACAGCCTAGTAACCTGAGTAGGAAGAAGATGCTATTGAAAAACAGAAGAATGTTTCTCTAAATCCTGTAGGCTTCATTTCCAGCTCTGTCCTCGTAAACATTGTGCTTGTTATACCTTTGTGCATGTCAAGTATCATGTATCTTAAACTTTTTTCTTTAAAGGCACGATCAAGGCTGGAATTAAGGGAGAAATGTACCAAGGAAGATGCTGAGGATGTAATAGAAATAATGAAATACAGGTAATACGCAGTAGTTTAGATAATGAAACACAGTATTTCTCATATATATATATATATTTTTTTTTTTTTTAATACAGATATATACACACAGGGAAGAAATGACTTGCTGGATAAAGTTCAGGCCTTTGATACCAATAATCAGATTCATTAGCTCGTTTTTAAAAAATGTCAGCAGCCCTAGGTTACGCTGAGTATGATCTTTGGTTATGAGTATTAACGCAGAGTATTTTAGAGATAAGGCACTGCCAAAAGTGTTTATCTCTTGTGTCATTACTTGTAGTTGTTGTGGTTGAACAATTTAAGGTCATCAGTGATTTGGACAGACACCTAGTTCCCTAGATGGCGACTTTCTTACTAGGGGATGATTTTCCTACGCAGCTTCTGGAAACTTAAGCTTGAGCAATTCCACGTTTCAGGAAGGAAATTTATGTACTTTTGCTTTTACCGCCTATTGATTTATGTATTTTTAGTATGCTAGGAACGTATTCAGATGAGTTTGGAAAACTGGACTTTGAACGCTCACAGCATGGATCTGGGATGAGTAATCGGTCACAAGCGAAAAGATTTGTTTCTGCCCTTAACAACATTGCAGAAAGAACCTACAACAATCTCTTTGAATTACAACAGCTTCGACAGATTGCAAAAGAATTACAAATACGAGTAGGTTGGGAAATAGAACAATTTGTTATACTTTGTTGTTGAATAAGAGTAGTCAAAACTACTGATTGCAAAACAGAAATTGGAAAAGGCACATCTGTTGTGGCTCTCTGTAGTGAACAGAAATAAGCAGTGTATGCTGCTTTAAGTCTGAGTGCTCTCCCTGAATTGCCTTCCCTTGTAAGCTTTGCTAATCTTATTAGCTGTTTGACAGTAACACCACCTTGCCTTTGTAAGGGCTGCTTCTACTTCTGAAGCTTGTCCTTAACAAAACTGTGCTTTGTTTTGTGAAGGAGAAGTTTGGTTGCAGTATATTTTACTTTCTTCAGCTCCTGAGGGGAAACCCCTATTTTAATTCCTGTCATTTTTGTGGTGACTTCATTTCTATTTCAGCAGTGCAGTAAATGTCTTTGGCCATCTCTGGCCCAAATGTACTTTCTGGGTTTTCGTTTGCTCTTCAAGTGCCCTAATGGTGTCGCTTGATAGGAACATCATGTCGGACACACAGCCACAAGGGAGTTTTATCCTGTAACTGACTTGTGTACTTCTGGGGGGGGGGGGGTGGGGGATGAAAATATTGATAGCTAATTCTGCTTTTTATTTTATGGTGAAAAGGTACAAATGTAAATGAAAAACTCAAAACTGGATATCAGGCATAGTGAGTGAAAAGTAGTGACAGTGAATTTCTTTTCATGGAATTTATTGTGCACAATATAATATATTGTGAACAATATAACTGTTCTTTGTTACCTTGTTAACCTACTTTGGCCTGCTGGCACAAGGTGGCTTAAGTCTCTAGACTTGTGCAAGCGTTGACTACAAATAAGATTGAATTTGGTGCAGATCCTGTCTGGTAGAGTCTGATGTTGTTGCCAGCTTTCTTCACGTGGCACATCAGTCATTCCTTCAGTGACTAGTTTCAGTTGAAAGTAGCTACGTATAGCTAATTTGGTTAATTCTAGCTTTGTCTTGATATACATATATAACTCTTTTGCCCTGCTCAAAGGCATTTAATAAATACTTTGAAACTGGAACCCATTGAAATCAATGAGAGCTTCTGAAACTAGGCTTCATTTAGTTATAAACTACTTTGGGGGGTTGTGCAGTTTCTTTCTTTAAGATCTCTCTTCAGGAAACATGTTCCTCCTCTTGTGTTTCAGAACTTGGATACATACATATGTTACCCCCTACACTTTCCACATGTCACAAAGTGGAGAACACTTCTTTTGAGCTATTTAACACCGTAGTGTTAACGGCTTGCAAGTAAAGCAAGAGAGGATGCAACTGGCTCTGTGCCAGTAGGTCAGAGGTTTGCTAAGGAAATTAACCTATTTTTACTTCACTTTCTGTAGTAGTTCACAATTCTTTTAGCTTGTCTGTGTTGCTTTACATCTGCTGAAATTTTATGGTTCCAATCTGATATTTATTTCTGTCTTTTTTCCAGGTATCCGATTTTGAAAGCTTTATCGGATCTCTAAATGATCAGGGTTACCTGTTGAAAAAAGGTTCAAGAGTTTATCAGCTTCAAACGCTGTGAAAAGAGCTACCATGATAAATTTCTTGGCACATAGTCATAATATCTGAAATGGCCTGATGGACACGCAGCAATAAAATGCACTGAATTGCAGCCTACACAGTATTTGATGCTCTGCCAGCACTGTTGCTTGCTGTGGTGTGAGATTTCCTTTCAGCAACTAGTGAGGCCAGAGGTTTGCTTACAATTGCTGTAGGACAAACTGATCCCATGGTATACTGCTGCTTGACTCATCCCAAAGGTCTGCTAGCCCAAATGAGAATGTGTAGCACGTACTTCATCATCCTTGAGTAGTGGAAAATGTATTTTACACTCAGTTCATTGCAGCACAGTAAGAGATTTTTCTGCCAAACTTAAAGTGATATTGGAGTTACCAATTTAAAAATAAGAACTCTTTCATGAGAAGACAATGTGAGTTGCTTTTTAGCAATTAGTTCCCCTGAAGAATCTAAAGTATAGAAATGTTTCCAAAAAAACTGGGAACCTTCATGTTGTGACAATGCAGTCTTATAGCTGTAATAAGTGACACATTATTGAAATTGTATTTAAATACAGAGCTGCAAAACAGAAAACTATAGTTTTTTTTATAGTTGGGATTTTATTTAAAATGCTAGTTTAATTTGAGAGAACTCATTATTGCAATATTTAGTGTACAACAAGTTGGATTTTGTGTACCTTTTTCATTAAACTGAGACGTCTGCGATTGTTTCAAAAACATTATACAGTAATAGTGAATGCTAGTGTGGATATTAACAGCTATTACAAGATATTTAACATGAACATACTGTGCTTATTTTCATTTAGTTCTGTTACTGCTGCAGAATCATGTTCTGCAAGAATAAACTGTTGTGTGTGTCCTGATTTTTTTTTTTAAGTGAAGTCAGGATCATCCTCTAGTGCAGTAAAGTGGCAAATGAAAAGCCTTCAGTATACGTATTAAACTTTTTCATGAATGTGTTGCATGACTCCTGTTTTCTTTCTGTTATTTCTAGAGTGTAAGAAAATAACTGAAGCTACACTACTTCTGCCTTTTCATTAATTCACTTAGATCTGAGCTAAAGCATGGTTTCTCAGCAATTTGTGTATGAGAATGTGACATCTACATGTTTCAAAGAACACGTTAACTATTCAGCACTGCCTCAGCGTCAATCTACTTCAGGATACCTGAAGTTGCAAACTAGTTGGAAGGGTGAAATACTTCAGGCAAATTCTGTGTATTAACTCTGAAGTGGCAAGCAGTTTGCTCCTTCCAAGTTGTGTATGCTCATTAAAATAGCCATTAATCACAGTTAACTGTAATGTCCTGAAGTAGTGTACCTCTCTAAGCCTGAATGGGCACACAGTTGCAGAAGGCCTTTGACTGACATGTGCCTAAATGGAGTTTTAATATCAACCTTTAGAAATCGGGGCAGCACAAGTTGCAAGGAGTTCTGCTTCCCTGGAACCTTCTGTATCAACTAAGGGAAAGTGTATGAAGTCTTATTCTAAAAAAAATGGAGGGAAAAAAAAAAAAAACTCCTGGACTTGCATGAAATAACCTTGTTAGGTGTTGCTTAGGGGCTAGAAGGCTGAACTGAAACTTGAAAAACAGGATTCTTTTTAGCGTGCTGCTACTCTGGAATTTTTAGGCATGTTCTTTCACTTGTCTTCACTCTTCCCCATGAAAAATATCACTGCCTTTAATTGTAAGATAGTAGTAAAACAACAACTGTCTTTCAAATGCCTGTGGAAGGGGTAAATACTGTGGCTGTGAGCGAGTTTTGTAGAACCTCTATTTATCGTGTCAATTATTAGCTAGTTTGTGTCATCAGACAACACCGACTGAATTCATGGGGGTTAAATCTCAGCACTGTTCCCGTGTTCCCATTTTGCTATTGCAACATACCGTGCTCCTTTAGGCTTCTGTAATTCCTCTAAAACTCCAAGGGCGTCTCTGCTTCGCTGCCCTAGTAAACAGCTGCCAGAAATCTGAAAAACGTCTCCCTAGCAGCTACTGGCGTTACGGGAAAGGGGTAGGAGTCTCGGGAGAAAACAAATCATGGCAAGTGGGAAAAAACAAACTCTGCTCGAGTTTATTCTCCCTTGAGCTAAAACAAACAACGGGAATAGAAAGCCCCGAGCACGAGAGACCACTTAAGCCCGGTGAGAAATCTCTTACGGTAAAGCAAGCCTGCAGTGAAGCACCCTCGAGCTTTTCCCTCGGGGACGGGCGGGCCGAGGCC